AAGACGCGGCGAGATAGCGATGACGATGAGAGAGACAGAGAAATAGAAAGAAAAGAAAAAAAAAACACAAAACAAAAGAATTAAGAATTACATAATAGATTTAAGGATACAAGGAAGAATAAATCAGAGCGAACGGGAAATGCAAGGAAGGGAAATAGACCCACAGAAATGGACTCCTAGAAACTTTTTTTTGTTTTTCTTTCTTTCTTTTTTGCAAGAAGTCGAGAGTCTTCAATGGCGCTTTTTAATCCAAGGCGTCAGATCTGGAAAGTGAGAGAGACATAGGCATTAATTCACGTTTGGGTAAATTATGTGAGTTATTGAATTGTTGTCGAATGACTATGATTTATAAATTCATGTTGATTTATAATTCATGAATAATTTATGAAGATCATGTTGACGATGTTATAATAAAGTCTATCTTCTATTTACAGTATATCTGCTTTGGGATATGAGATATAACTTCTACTTAAAAAAAGGTAAATGTTAGTTGAAGAGGATAAAACTGGTGCCTTTTTTCTTACTGTGGATTTACTCTTTTCCCTTTTCTTCCATTTTTCTTTCTCCCCTCGCTCTTCTCTCTCTCTCTCTCTCTCTCTCTTCTCTCTCTCTCTCTCTCTCTCTCTCTCTCTCTCTCTCTCTCTCTCTCTCTCTCTCTCTATCTCTCTCTCTCTCTTTCTCTCTCTCTCTCTCTCCTCTCTCTCTCTCTCTCTCTCCTCTCTCTCTCTTTCTCTCTCTCCCCCTCTCTCCCCCCCTATCCATCCTTCTGCTTAACCCTACCTTTTCTCCTCTTCGTTTCTTTCTCTTGTCTTCTTTTTCGTTTGTATCTTATAGCTTTTTATCTCTCTAATCGTATTTTATCCCTGATTACATATTTCCTTCTCATTCCTTCTTCTTCTTTCATTTCCTATTTCCCTTTCGTTCCCTCCTTTTCTCTCATTCCCTCTTTTCATATCATTTTTTATTTCCTTTTTCTCTTATTTTTCTTTCTTATTCCCCCTTTCCCTCTCATTCCTTTTTTCTCTCTCATTCCCTCTTTCTCTCTCATTCTGCTTTTTTCTCCTATTAAAAAAAAAAAAAACGAACTTTACACACTTTATTATGCCTGAGAATTACCAATCATGTAAATTATAACCGTCGTGAGTAATAGAATAAAGTAGTTTGTAATTTGAAAATTTGAATTTGAACATAAATCTGAATTCTCTCTTTTCTTCTTCTTTCCCTTGCTCTCTCTTTCCCTTTTTCCCTCTCGTTATCTTTCTAGTTCTTTCATTCTCCTGCTTCTTATATCTTCATTTCCTTTTTACCTTTTCCTTTTCTCGCTCTTCTCTTCCCTTTTTCCTCTCTCTCTTTCTCTTTCTTTCTCTGTCAGTCTCCTTCTCATCTTCCTTCCTCTCTCCCTCTCTCTCTCTCTCTCTCTCTCTCTCTCTCTCTCTCTCTGTCTCTGTCTCTGTCTCTGTCTCTGTCTCTCTCTCTCTCTCTCTCTCTCTCTCTCTCTCTCTCTCTCTCTCTCTCTCTCTCTCTTTCTCTCCTTTTTTCCCATCTCCTACCAGTCTCCTCATCTCCCCTCCCTCTTCGTCACTCTCTCTTTCTATTTCTTTCTTTCTCTCCTTCTTTACCCTCCCCCTCCCCTACCAGTCCCTTTCTTATCTCCCTCCCCCTCTTCATCACTCTCTCTCTTTCTCTCTCTCTCTCTCTCTCTCTCTCTCTCTCTCTCTCTCTCTCTCTCTCTCTCTCTCTCTCTCTCTCTCTCTCTCTCTCTCTACTTCTCTCTCTCTCTCTCTCTCTCTCTCTCTCTCTCTCTCTCTCTCTCTCTCTTTCTCTACTTCTCTCCTTCTCTCTCCTCTCCCCTCCCCCTCCCCTACCAGTCTCCTGACCTCCAAATACTCCTTCCTAATTGAATACGAAGGACTTTCCTATCCACAGGAATATTTTCCTTGTTGATTACTTAAACGCCTCGAGATGTATGGTTTTATCCGGATATAATCTTTTCCCCTCTTTTTCCCTCTCTTGTCGAGGGTCAAGAGGCAGGGAGAGGGGGTGGGGGGGGTGGGGGTGGTTGTATGCCTAATAGAGAATTTGGTCTTTTGGGTTCTTCAGGTTTCACGTAAATATATTTTCTGTTGTTCTGTCTCTTCTCTCCCTTTCTGTCTGTCTGTCTTTCTCTTTCCCCTTCGCAACCCCTCTTTCTCCTTTCCCTTTTTTTTCTCTCTCTCTCTCTGCTTACACTAATTCCCCCTTTTAGCCTGTCTGTCTGTCTACCCGTCACTCTCCTTCCCCTTCTCTCGTTCTCCTCTCCCTTCTCTCTCTCTTTCTGCTAACATTGATCCCCTTCTCTCTTCTGTCCCTTTCTGCCTATCTGTCTGCCTACCCACCTCTCTCTTTCTCCTTCTCATTCTCTGTTTCTCCTCCCTCTCTTTCCGTTTCTCTCTCTCTTTCTCTTCTCTCTCTTTCCGCCTCTCTCTCTTCTAACATTAATTCCCTTCTCTCTTCTCCCTCTCTTTCCGTCTCTATCTCTCTTCTCATTCTCTCTTTCTCCTCTCTCTCTCTTCTAACATTAATTCCCCTCTCTCTTCTCCCTCTCTTTCCGTCTCTATCTCTCTTCTCATTCTCTCTTTCTCCTCTCTCTCTCTTCTAACATTAATTCCCCTCTCTCTTCTCCCTCTCTCTCCGTCTCTATCTCTCTTCTCATTCTCTCTTTCTCCTCTCTCTCTCTTCTAACATTAATTCCCCTCTCTCTTCTCCCTCTCTTTCCGTCTCTATCTCTCTTCTCATTCTCTCTTTCTCCTCTCTCTCTCTTCTAACATTAATTCCCCTCTCTCTTCTCCCTCTCTTTCCGTCTCTATCTCTCTTCTCATTCTCTCTTTCTCCTCTCTCTCTCTTCTAACATTAATTCCCCTCTCTCTTCTCCCTCTCTTTCCGTCTCTATCTCTCTTCTCATTCTCTCTTTCTCCTCTCTCTCTCTTCTAACATTAATTCCCCTCTCTCTTCTCCCTCTCTTTCCGTCTCTATCTCTCTTCTCATTCTCTCTTTCTCCTCTCTCTCTCTTCTAACATTAATTCCCTTCTCTCTTCTCCCTCTCTTTCCGTCTCTATCTCTCTTCTCATTCTCTCTTTCTCCTCTCTCTCTCTTCTAACATTAATTCCCTTCTCTCTTCTCCCTCTCTTTCCGTCTCTATCTCTCTTCTCATTCTCTCTTTCTCCTCTCTCTCTCTTCTAACATTAATTCCCCTCTCTCTTCTCCCTCTTTTCTACAGCCTCCAGAAGGTCCAAGGGAAGACAAACGCTGGACACTTACTCATTTCTTTCTCTTTAGAATTTTCCTCTTGGATAAAGATGCTTACTCTCATCAGTCTCTTGACAGTGGATGACAGTTTCAAGAGGTTTATATAGCGATGATATTCTTTCTTTTTTATTCTCATTTTCTTTTTTTGGGAAGAATCGTTATGAAATTTTGGATCTATTTGTCTTCCCTCTTTGTCTCTCTGTTTGGGTCTTTCTCATTTTGTGCTACTTGTTTTTTTTTTTTTTTGTTTCCTGATTTCTTTTGTCTGTAATTCAGAACTGTTCATTCTCTCCTTTTCATCTCTTCATCTTTTCCTTCTTCGATCTCCTACCCCTCCATCTCTTCTTCTTCTTTCTCTGCTTCCTATCCTCTGGTTCTCCTCTTTCCCACCTCTCCCCTTTCACACCCTCTTCCTTTCCCATTCCTTCCCTTCCCCCTTTCCACACCCTCCCCCTCCCCCCCCCCCCCCCCCCTTCCCCTCCCCCCGCCCCCAACCTCTCCCTCCTCCCCCCCCCCTCTTTCCCTTAACCCGTCCTCCCCCTCCCCTCTTTCCTCCTCTCCCTCCTCCCCCTCCCTCCTCAACCCCTTCTCTCCTCCCCCCCTGCACCTCTCACCTCAGCCCCTCATGCCAATGAATCCCGAAGGAGCTCTCTTGTCAAGGCCGGGAATACCCATGTCCTCCTCGAAGTCCTCGTCATAGTCCGCTTTCTTGCCCCTCATCCCGAGGAATCCCGACGGGGCGCGCTTCTGCTGCTGTTCCACGAGGGCGGCGAGAGCCTGTGGGTAAAGGGGGGGGGGGTAAGGTTTATAGAATTACGTAGAATGTGGGTGTTTGGGTGTGGGTGTTGGGGGGAGGGGAGGGGAGCGGGTGGGTATGTATGTGGATGTTTATATGTTTTACGTGTGTGTATGTGTGTGTGTGTGTATGTATGTATGTATGTATATATGTATATATACAAATAATACAGACACACACACACACTTACTCACACAGATCTATGTCTATATCTATATTTACATTTATAACTACCTCTATCTTTCTATCTACCTATATATATATATATATATATATATATATATATATATATATATATATATATATATATATTATATATATACATATATATATATATATATATATATATATATATATATATATATATATATATATATATATATATATATATATATATATATATATAATACATATATAGGCAGATAGAAATATAGAGGTAGATATAAATATAAATATATGTATATTTATATATATATATACGCATATACATACATATATATATATATATGTACACATATATATATATATATATATATATATATATATATATATATATATATATATATATATATATATATATATATATATATATACATACATATATATATATATATATATATATATATATATATATATATATATATATATATATATATATATATATATATATATATATATATATATATATATATATATGCATATACATACATATATATATATGTACATATATATATATATATATATATATATATATATATATATATATATATATATATATATATATATATATATATATATATATATATATATGAATATATATATATATATATATATATATATATATATATATATATATATATATATATATATATATATATAAATATGCATATATATATATATATATATATATATTTTTATA